AGGGCGAAACCGGCCGTGAGATGTCGCAGAGTTTTCAGCAACCTTGTGAGCAGGTTCCTTTATGAAAATATACTGCGACATCTCGAATATCGTGCCAACTGAATCATGAGGCGGTCTGTGTGCAGCACATTAAGTTGTAGAACTTCATAAACGAGAGATTCATTTGAGTCTCTTGTGAAAACCAAGTTAATCATTTTGACTTACGGAAGATATCTGAGGTAATGGGAACTCTGCGTAGTCTTCACAGATAAAATCTTCGCAATCTTCACTAAGGACAAGACAAAAAAGGCAAAATGATATTCCGTTGCATTTGGAACCTGGAACGGATGTGGTCTGGCTCCGTCGTTAATCGGACTGATCAGCTGGGCGTAAGTGAGAGTCATTATCCAATGAAAAAGCTTGCACAATGATCCATCTTCAATGACGTGAAAGTGTGCTTAATTTAACCAACCGGCCTGAAAATATGTTTTGCATATGATCTGAACTAAACTGCGCTTATACCTCTCAGCCACCCACCCAATCAAGTGAATCTCAACCGTCCCTTTCAGGGGAGGGAGCGTTTTGGGAGGTGCCTGCAACAATCTACTGGTCTGACTTTTATTCTTCCAAAGATGTAGCGAAGGTTTCCTGTGATCGACGAGGGGGTCATCAGAGTTTATTGGTAACACGCGGTCACATCAGATTAATCACTGTCATGTAGGGATTCGAATGAGGTACGGACTGGATAAAAGAGCAAATTGCTCCAAGTTGGAACTGTTCAAATTTCACAATACATGCACAGTGCATTGTCGTGGGATTTCGGGCTTATCGGTCTGAGTTGCTTTAATATCAACTACCTATCACCTAATAAAGTGTGGCTGCAACTTGTTTTAGCTTCTGAGGACTTCCTTATAGTGTTCCATCTGGATGGGGTTTTTCGTAAAGTCGTAGATGAAGTTGCTTCGCTTGTATACTTTCTTTATCATTTGAGATGTCATTACTCATGGAGCACGTGATCACGTGACGCGAATTCTCCGATCGAAAGGTCGACAACGTTATTTCATTTCTAAGTGTGAGATATTAGTCACTTAGCTGATCAACCGGCTATTGCCGAACGGTAAACCCTACAGCAACTAACCGAGCGGTCGGATGTTTCAGTCTTCCTGGATATTCGTGGGATACACACCGTTGATTACTGCCGATAAGGATGAGAAAGATTTACAACATTTCTCAGATTCTCGATGTACATTTCATATCTTGGACGAATTCTAGACGGAAACCCCCAAATCTCTTTTCTCTACCAGTGAACTTGGAAAAATTACAAAATCTCACGCAACTTTTAGACATAGGATAGTCTGAAAAGTTTCAAGTGCTAGCGCCCGTCAATTTGACGTATTAGAATGGGCTAAGGATCATTCGTTGCCGACAAAGATAAAGTGCGAAATGAGCTACGTGATGTTGATCTTTTTTCGAGAAAATTAATTTGGTCGTAAATCTGGCCCAGCGAATACGATCTTATTGAATGCACGCGGAGGAGAGACCAAACCAGAAAAATCTGTGTTTCTTTGAAGACTAGGTTTCAACCTAGATGACCTCAGTGAAGATATTTCTCGCCGTATACTTTCAGTTGAAGACGAAGTTGGAGAAAATGAAACAAATAAATTAATTTCAAACCATCACATTCGGGCCCAAACACGTTGACGAAAACCAAAACTTGCGAACTCTACAATGACCTAGTTAAGACTCTCATGAACTGAGTGTGAGATTGACCTTGTTCACTTGCACCAGAAGTAAGTATGACTCTGAACAAGCATCCAAGTACAAAGCTAGAATTAAAAACACGAGACTTTCCAGCAAAATCAACGCAAAGCTGGAAAAGGCAACCGGCAGGGTCTGATAGATTGGGTGCGATACAGCTCGATTATGACGCAACAAAGTGATACGTTCAACCGCTCTGTCCCCACTGTACGGTGGGTACAAGTGAACATAGCAGGCAGGGGATAGCTAGTAGGCGCATGGTAACCCGGCTAATTGGTCTTTTGAAGTTTGTTTCCTCTTCCCTGCGATTGGCCTCATTGTTTTGTTAGGTGGGAACCAAGCTAAAAAGACTTGTCTATTCACGATTAGTGCAGCCAATCAATCGCATTACGCTTAACGCTGGACCATTATCAACATCCGTCGCATATACTTTCTGTGTCATTAGTGAAAGAGATGCACTACTAGCTAGTTAGAATTAAAAAAATAATGGTTTAATGAAAGTATCTGAAAGTATGATGACAAACTCTTACATACAACTGCCAGGCGATTAGCAAACTTTTAACGAAAGCTTAACTTCGAAAGGATTTGGGTGCTTTATCACCAGTCATTGAGAGAGTTGTATCTGCGTAATTTACGATCACTAACAGTAAAATTTTGATGCATACGAAAAACAGGATGTTTTGGAAATTTTATCATCCCGACTAAAACATTGCGGTGTACAGAAGCTCGCTGAAAGACGGTCACCACCAGGAAACAGATACCTTAGTCAGTTTTTGAAAGTGGGAAGGGGGTTATGTTCAAGGAAAATGTGTAAGATCCTATAAAGACTGCTCAAAAATTGTGGTACTTGTAAATTTTAGAAGTTTTTCAGTACGCCGTTTAGTGTTCTCCGACCGATTGTTCCTGCAGCTAGGAATGAAGTTCAATTCATAGTGGATTGTGCTAATTCTGAAAACTGATTTCGTTTGTCGCCTTGTACTAAGATGCTTGGGTTAATCAGGTGTTTGAATACTACCGATTAACACTGTCCCAGTTTTTTCCCCTGGTTTTGCGTCGCTTTTTTATTGCATTTTCATCAAGACTTCATTTGTAACCAAATTCAGTTGGGTGCGAGCGTTGCTGCTGACAAAATCGGATATCAAATAATGAAAACTCGATACGCCTTGTGGGCAATCTAAAAATCATCCTTTACATGACCCGCACTTAGGAATTAACGTCCTTTTTAGTTCTGAGATCATATTGCCGATTTGTAGAGCACACACGTATCTTTCGGAGGTCTAATTCTCCGTGCACCTAGTCCGTAAGGTGATGCACTGGGAGTGAAATTGACTTGAACGATCATGTTTGATCAATTTTGTGCCTTCACGGCGTAGGGGAAGTTAGTTCGCTGCAGCCTGCCCGCAGTTAATTAGAGCATAGGCGAGTATATAATAACTCATCAGTCATTGAGGCGGTGGATATAGCTAATCGGATTAAAGTGGTTGTGATCTGCACGTTACGAACGTTAGACAACCACCCACTATGGAAAGCGGTCTTTTCCATTGGAAGCCGTCACTTGTGAACATTTAGACGGCAACCAACCAAGAAGCTCGAACGAGAAATGGAAGGGTTTGTGATAAAATGAGGGTTGTATGAGCTCCGCGCCTTTGTGATTTGGAGCTACGTGATTCTCCTCGTGTGTGGAAAAGGCACGCAATGTAAGCAGTGATAGACACCCTCTCACTTCCTTACAGGACTACCAAGTGCAAAGATTCCTGTCGTAAACTAAGATTTGTCTCATTCAGTCACACTACATACATTGGTTTACTTTAGTACTGTTTCGGTGGTGTCTCGATCGTTTACTCTTAGAACATTAGGTATTTTGAACTTGGATCCAATACTTCCTCCTTCGTCCTACTCTCTACAATACGGTTTTCATCCCAGTTTCAAGACTGTATGACACTAGTGTTTACTACTGGTGCATTGCACCGGAAGATGATCCTGTCTTCATTCACTGATAAAACTAAGTTGTGCATAAACGTTCTACAAAATCAACCAACACAGGACCAAAAGATGTATTACGAAAATCCGGCTTGGGTAGTATCCCTCATTCTTGTAGGACTGCCCAGAGAGTAGTTTTTGTTCCATATCCAGATGCTTCTTAATTTGCCAAAACTACTTCATAGCGGGGCCTGCTTTTGAAACAAAGAAATTTCGTAGTGGTGCATGGGGAATAACAGGAAGGTTCCAAACATGGTTCACTAATAAGTTGTTCTCACGTCTCTTAGATCGAACTGGGATGAGTGGCAATCAGAGCACGTGCCCCACCGTATTACGAGTTAGGTTACACGCATTGTGGGAGAAAACTGCTCTTGCCATTTTTGACCGAGAAAACAATCAGGGATTTCAAACAGTACTGACTCAGCATTCCTGATTCTAGCTTCGCTGGCGGTGATAGAAGGCAAATCCATTCGTCCGTTGCATTGAGCTAGT